AACTTTTACTTGCCTAAATGCTCCCAATACCGGAACTTCCGAGTCATTACACGCCGACATTACCAACCCTTCCTGATGAGGAAGCATGGAGATGGTTTCCTATTGATGTAGCGGTTTACCGTAAAACCGGTACATCCCTAATATGTGCTGAAAAAGAAGCAAATATGCCAAACACTCCATGTACAGCCCATAGTAACATTTGCCTATAAAAAGTAAGCAAACAGTAAGTAGCCACTCACCGGAGAATCTTCTTTGCTCCCAGGCACTGGATATCACAGGACACCGAGTACATTTCATAAAACGTTGCCTTTATATTCAAGCAGCCTAAAAAATCCCGAGGATTCAGCTTGTATAAATCAAGTGTAATGTTTGCAATTCCTTTTCGCTTTGTTTGTTGAGCTGTACGTCTAGCTTTTCTTTCCTACGGGTTTTAAAAACAGCATTATTCAAAGATCGGTCAATGTTACTTGATAATGAACAATGTGACCCAACATGTAATGAATATTATGTTCTGCCTGTACATCTACGTTACATGCAATGTATACAAAAAGCAAAGAGCATGAAAGAGAACATGACTGAATACATGGATGGATCTGTGCTCCTAATGGTCCGCTCTGTTATAAATGGAGGTGTATGGAACAGTCAGCTGAAAGACTCGCAAACTTTAGAAGTCTTTCTCTGCCACCTAGTGGCAATAGTTAGAATTAAGAAAACCAAAACTTTAAAGCACATATGAACCCAATGACAAAAAATTTAATATATTGCAGCTCATTAGTCCTTAGATGTGGTCATTGCATTCTTTTTTCAAGTACAGAAAATAGCTGTTGTGTCAGAAATGCAGTATCCACGTCACCTTATCTAAACTACTAGTCCCTCTACTCCATCATATAATGAAGATGAACAAAAAGGCAGACATGTTTGAAGTCCAGGACATCCTCCAAACAATATGCAAAGAAAAAAGAAAACAGAAGACTCCTTTCCCTCATGTATTACCATTACATAAAATTGAAATCTTTATTAGATGGTAAGATCAGTTGTGTCCCTGGCCTTTTTTCCGCCTGAGGCAGGGGGTGTCTCTACAGGTGCCACAAGACACAACAGTGAAACTGCCCTCTGCATCTCCCCGCCCAGCAAACTGGGGTGTTCTAGCTGGCGTCCTACCCACATCCTGGCAACCAGTGGGCATCCGTTGTTGCCAAGAACTAGGCGGGCTGATATGTATGGCCCTTACACATCTCCCCACCTGGGATGCTCTGGCCAGAAAAGGGGCAACCGGCACAGTGCACACATTATACAGCAGAGCGGAATATAACAAATATGCTGCTGTAGCTGCGGCAACCCCCAAATGACCGAAAGATGCCTGAGGCTGCCTCATTAAAATGACGGCCCTGATTATGATTATTCTCTCATTCTATAACATCAGTGTGCATCAAAGTGACAACAATAGCTGACATTCATTAAAAATTCATATCCAAAAATGACCGCAATAAACACAAATGTGCAAATTTCCCCAGATAGATAAACTAGCTGCCGAGTGTGTGATAGTGGCTAATGCATTTCCAGCATCATGCCCTCTTCTTCAGAGCTAATTGCACTCTATTTGAAGTCTGGCCCATGTGACAACCATGGCTGCCTCCATAGATACAGAGGAGAAATGACTCTAGACAGGATGTGTATTATTCACAGCATCACCAGGTAAAAAGAAAAAAACTAATGCTGCAAGAACTTGAAAACCTGCAATATATTATTTTTTGTTGTCTTGGGGTTTAGATACACTAAACGCAATGAAAACAAGACAGGCAGGCCTATTTTATAAGGCAGAGCAACAAGTATAGATGCACATAGGACATGAAAAATGATGGACAGATTGAAACCTAGCAGCTTGTAAGATAATGAAAAAAAATGTAGTAAGCCAAAGTTTACTGTGGCGAGATGGGTTTACTAAGCTGTAATAAAAGGGTTTCTTTTTGTTATAATGATTCTCACAGGATCATCTTATAAAAAGTAGAAAGTAACCACATGCCTGAAAAGAACAATCATTATGGCGGATAACACATGATATAGCTTAGTGAATAGTTTGGCTTCTTGCTATGGATCATTACAGTTGTATAGCCTCATTGCTGGGGTGAATCAGCTTGCTGATGTCCACGTTTGACCATGGAGGTGTTGCTGGGCACATGTCTGGCTGAATGACACAATATATAATCACCATTTGTTCAGTGGTTATCGGATGCCACACAGCTGACTACACAACCCAATGCAATTGAAAACCTCACCTGTGTCCACTTCTGACCTCCTTCAAGGATGAGAAAGTTGGTGTTATCCTCCAGAGACTGGAAAAACTCCTCTGTGTCAACGACAGTGCCATCTTCCTCTAGAACAAGAGTCACCAGACCAGCAGTTAGGAACAGGGTTTCAATGGCCTGTAACAAGGAGAAAACATGAGGTGTAGGGTTAACCACTGGAAAACAAACATTTCCTACACAAAACAGGCAAATAAATAATACAAGAAAGCAGGAAAAAAAAAAAAAGAATATTCATGTCAAATGGAAAACAGAGAAATATCACATAGAATGTATTGGTTCCTGAAAAGTAAAATGTGTCAGCATTTAAAAAAGAGAAAAAAAACGGACATGCTTTTTGACCTCTCAGGTACAAGACTGGGCTGGTTTATTTTACACAAATATTTGTGATGATTGGCAAATCTGCAATTTACATAATCCACATTTTCAAAAACATTGTTGTTGTTTGGGGGTTTTTTAATTGCTGTGTGCTTGTTAGGGCAATTCACTTTTTCTAATGTTCCTGATCAGTCTCACCAGAAATAAAAGTGAGGGTGAATCCAAAATGTTACCTTGTACCATAGGGGTGGGGTTGTAAAAGGATCTGCTCTGAAAGTCAAACACTTTGTATGTCGCATTCTTTATTCTTTTTGTTAAAACTTTCCATGACTTATCATGTTAAAGTACCATGAGCTGTAAGTATAATAATAAATTGTTAGCAGAGGTTCACCAAAATTATTTGAAGGGTTTCTTCAGGATAAAAAGGATGAGGAAGGCTGCAGGAGGGGCAACTGTGAGCAAATGCTGTTTCGCCTTAATAAAACCCATTTTATTTGACCTTTTTAAAAAATGTTTTCTTGCCTTGAAAAGACACGGAGGGGAATTTATTAAAATTGGAGCAGACAGAATCTGGAGCAGTGGCCCAAACATGACAAGAATTCTGGGTTGCTGAATCACAGATCTTATGTACAAATATTTGTGTGATATAATAAAGCCAGGACTAAACTAATTCTCAGAGAACTTGTCCATATGTTTGAGGATGGCATGTACTCCCTTTTCAATGAACAGCTACTACAGGAATTGGGCAACCCATTTCAAAGGTCAGCAGGTATGCTAGGAACTATGGGGTAGCCTACCAACATGACATGATACGCACATGTTCTTTACAAATGTTAAAGTGACACTAAACTCAGGAGTTATATCTTAAAATAAAACATTCAAGTACCCTAACTATTAACAATACTGGACCTTCTTTGTGCAATCATTTAGTTGCAGAGCATCGCTGAATTGGTGCCAACACTGTCTTTCCTTCTGGAGAGTGGCTACTTTTGTTCTCCATGGTCCCTGCATGTGTGTGTGTGTTCTAACATAGCCACCGCTACAAGCTCGCTTCTGTGATGGACTATAGTTTCAATACAAATTAGTAAACTAAACGTGAGATTGTAGTTCATCATGAGAGTGAGCTTGGAGAGGTTGCTACCTTACAACACACACACAGGGACCATGGGGAACAAAAGTAGTCACCCCACCCTCCAGAAGAAAGGACAGTGTCAACAGAAATTCAGAGATGATTTGGGGGATCTACAGCTGAATGATGCACAAAATATCCAGTATTGTTAACAGTTAAAGGTATGTGAATTTTTTTTAAAGATTTAACTCCTGAGTTTAGGGTCACTGTAAACCATGGATTTGTAATGGTTTGAAAGTCATAGTGTTAGTGGACAGCACACAAGCTGTGACTCCTATAATCGACTTTCTCATCCTTACTAAAGGCCATTTGTTATGTCTTTGCAGAGTTCCACTTTAAGGCTCACACCCTTTTTGGAGTACATAGTTTTATACCCCTCTATATTAGTAGCCCAGTCATGCGTGCTGTCCAGCCAGGTTCCCGCTATACCTACTATGTCGAAGTCCTCTTCAATTAACCATTTTAACGCCACTTAGCTCCCAGGCAATTTGTTCCCCAAGCCCTGTGTGAGCAAGCTCAAAATGAGTGATGCACTAGTTTATAATACACCTGCTCAATGAGAGACACCTGAGCTCAATTAACCCCTCCCCCTAACAAGAGCACTGCAACCTGTGTTTCCTTCTTTGCCTGAGCAGACTCTGAAAACGTAAGATAAACTAATGATATTGTCACAGCTACAAGTGTATTTCAACATTTACAATTTGCAATGTTAAAAGCAGCCTTTTTTTTGGAAATACACACTAACCACCTACCTTTTCGATGAGTTCCTTCAATGTACTTGCTACAACACCTTTCCGTCGGCTTCTATCACTGTTAGACACTCGAAAGGGTCGTTGTGGAGGAAGAATAGGTGGGAACAGGACTTTTCGCGTCAATGAAGCACTTGCATAAGTAACTGATCTATAATTTTTAAAGAAAAAAAAAAAACATAAAAAAAAAAGTAAAGTAAAAATGTACAACAGATGTTCAAGATACCCAACAATAAACAGGACAGCGAAAAGCTATAAAGTGGTACCTCGGTTCACGAACTTAATTGGTTCCACGATTCTGGTCGCGAACCGAATCACATTTTCCCATAGGGTTCAATGTAAATCAGGTTAATCCGTTCTGAACCATATGAAAATAATTTTTTTTTAACCACAAGTTACTTTTTACCACCATTCTTGCTCTGCACATTCTTGTCACCTTCATTAACGCTCTGCACAAACTTGTCACCTTCATTAACGCTCTGCACAAACTTGTCACCTTCATTAACGCTCTGCATGTTCTTGTCACTTTCATTAACGCTCTGCACCTTCTTGTCACCTTCATTAATGATCTGCACTTTCTTTTTCCCACCATGCTTGCTCTGCACTTTCTTGCTGGATTGAATACAGTAATGTGCTACAAAGCACACAAAAAACCTTCACAGTAAGTGTCCACAGCCCTGTCTGCGACTGCTCAATTAACCCCTCCCCCTAACAAGAGCACTGCAACCTGTGTTTCCTTCTTTGCCTGAGCAGACTCTGAAAACGTAAGATAAACTAATGATATTGTCACAGCTACAAGTGTATTTCAACATTTACAATTTGCAATGTTAAAAGCAGCCTTTTTTTTGGAAATACACACTAACCACCTACCTTTTCGATGAGTTCCTTCAATGTACTTGCTACAACACCTTTCCGTCGGCTTCTATCACTGTTAGACACTCGAAAGGGTCGTTGTGGAGGAAGAATAGGTGGGAACAGGACTTTTCGCGTCAATGAAGCACTTGCATAAGTAACTGATCTATAATTTTTAAAGAAAAAAAAAAAACATAAAAAAAAAAGTAAAGTAAAAATGTACAACAGATGTTCAAGATACCCAACAATAAACAGGACAGCGAAAAGCTATAAAGTGGTACCTCGGTTCACGAACTTAATTGGTTCCACGATTCTGGTCGCGAACCGAATCACATTTTCCCATAGGGTTCAATGTAAATCAGGTTAATCCGTTCTGAACCATATGAAAATAATTTTTTTTTAACCACAAGTTACTTTTTACCACCATTCTTGCTCTGCACATTCTTGTCACCTTCATTAACGCTCTGCACAAACTTGTCACCTTCATTAACGCTCTGCACAAACTTGTCACCTTCATTAACGCTCTGCATGTTCTTGTCACTTTCATTAACGCTCTGCACCTTCTTGTCACCTTCATTAATGATCTGCACTTTCTTTTTCCCACCATGCTTGCTCTGCACTTTCTTGCTGGATTGAATACAGTAATGTGCTACAAAGCACACAAAAAACCTTCACAGTAAGTGTCCACAGCCCTGTCTGCGACCGCAATCTCGAGTACAGGAAGCCACAACCATGTGTCAAGGGTGGGGAAGATGGCCGCGGTCGTGTTCGTCACACAAGGCAGAGTTCGTGAACGGAGGCAAAATTTCGACGAACTTCCTGGTCGCGAACCGAATTGTTAAAAAAGGTACACATGTAACATCTTCATATACAGAATTGCACTCCTTATTTGTCAGTAGTTAACTGCAGTCAAATGTGTACAAAACAGCTGCTAAAACAAGTTTAGCACTAAAAATAAATGCAAAAGGCTACATTTAATTTACATGGCTAAATATAGGTTTTTATCACTCCCACCTGTTTTCCTTAGACAGAAAATAACACAGTAGCTTTTAATGCAATTGCAATGGTATCAGATAATCCACACTACATCTCATTCCAGGTTTCATTTTAATCCCATAATCTGCTTCATGGAGTCACTTAAGTGGACGCAAACTAATTAAGTGATCACACAGAGTAGGAAACTCTTAAGTCTTGTTTTATGCTGGACTGTAAACTGAAGGTACATGGAAAATATAATTTGGTATACCAGATGTATTTAGGAGAAGGGTGTCTATTTTAGATTAGAGTAGTTCTGTAATATAATGAGGACCATTCACAGAGATACTCTAGAATTTTCACAGGATCTAATGTACAAACTTCAGGAGGTTGGAAGTAAAGAGAGTTCATAGAGAAGTTTATAAATCGTTTTGGATAGAGAAGGGTAGATGTAGACCTTTTGCCATGTTTTAATTACCGTGTGCCTTTTGAGAAGATTTTTCTGTATAGGAGGAGAATAATCCTATCCTGTTTTGTCACAGACAGGAAGTCAGGGGAAATCTAATTCTTAGGGACAAAGAAAGCAATTAAAAATAGCCCTCCTCAGTGAACATATATGTGTTTATTGCTGCCTATGTGCTTATGTCTCCCATTTATATCTTACTTGTTGTTGTGTAAGGCACCCATGAGCTGGAGTTGGGCTTTAGGAACTTTATTTACCTGTAATTTATAGACTCAAAATGAAAAGTAATGTCTCATAGCATTGTTAGGTCAGATTCGGCTTCATTTTCTGTTCAGGCTCAAAATGCATAAGAGGTCGCGGGCACAATCTAACCATTTCAGACAATGGAATTCCATTGTGAAACTTGCCCATCCAGAAATGCCTTGCAGACATTTTCAGGGACCACTTCAGATTACGGCCAGAAAACTCCAAGCTTTTTGTGAGTGAAGTTTGCAAGACCACCTAATTAAAACCGCATCCTTACCTGAAGAGCATACTGGCTAGGTAAGCCTTAAAATCGTCAAAAAATAAACTGTGCGACTCTATGGAGGAGCCTGGAAATAACAAAATAAAAAAACCATGGGCCAACAAGCATAATCTTCTCACATCCTTTCCTGACAGGAGGGGATGGTGAGGCTTTTCATCTTTTCTTTAGGTTTCCTGTCCCGATCAGGTGGAAGGAACAGTCTTTCAGTTGGATGTTCTGGAGGTGGAGTGGGGAAAAAATAATTGTTGTAAATGCTACCTTTTCCCTTTACATAAAAGATTTTTGACTTGCAATGTGCCTCTGAATTTGATGGTAACTCGTTTCCCACCCCCCATATAACCTTTTATATAGTAGCCAGGGGAGCAGCAAAGGTGACTACTATAGGTGCAGAGCAGTTACAGACCGGATCAAAACGGCTTCCAATGTATTCCAATGGTATTTTTAACTCCAGTTCACATTGCAGCGTTCAGTTCCAGAGCAGGTAAAAAAAACTGCAGCAAGCCCCATTTTACCTGCTCTGGAACGCATCAAAAACGCATGTAAACACGTCAAAAACGCAACTCAATGCAAAAAACTAACCATAAAGAAAGAAAAGGACATATGAGATAAACAGTGGTGGAGAGAGGACCTTTGTGATCAAAAAAGTGTCAGCAGGACTAGATGATAGATGAGCAAGAAGGCAAGTAAGGAGGAGAAGTGTGCCATATCAAAACATAGATGGAAAGGGGGTGATATATGGCAGAAGCACATCAAAAACAGCAGGATGGAGAAAGGGGGCAGATCATGGCCGAGAGGGAGGAGAGAGAAGGCAGGTAAAAAAAGAATTGTGGAGTAAAGAGGCAGAACATCATGCAGGAAAAGCAGAGCAAAACTGCTGGTCATCCCTCCTCTGGGCAAGGAGAATAGTTCACCAACAGCTTACAGTATCTCCACTTGTGTGAAATTGAGACGCAAACACATTGGTTAAGAGGAAAGAAGTGGTACAGAATCAACATGGCACCTGCATATTAAGAAATGTGGGTCTCTGGTGTCTTTCCCCACTGTGGCAAAGAAAGACTGCCATAGAGAACACACAGCAGAGAGTATACTCAAAGAGCTTCTGACATGAGGTGAACCTGGGTCTGATCTACTATGGTGTAAAACAAAACAAAAAAATATTATAGTCAAAGTGCAGTAAACCAGAAAGAACATCTTTGCCACATGAATGTATGTATGTAGGCCCTGATTCACTTCTGTTACTGGGGTAAATCAGCCCCAGAATCCCTTCGACTGATTCTGCATGTTTCTAAATCAGGTTGGGGTTCACTGCTCATTTAAGTTAATTAGGTCTTATGTGTATTGGGTACACAAAGAGCCTTCACAATATATGAACATGTCCCTATAACAAGAATTATCTAATATATGAAGTATGCCTTTATCTGTGTAGCAGGTGCTGAGGGAATGAAGGAACTCTAGGCTATTATTCTGCACGAAGGTCAAAGCCATTGCTTATACCAATCAATTTTGAGGTATTATTCAGTAACCTAAGGACAATATTCCAGATCAGAAAAGTATAATCTTCTTAGCTAGCCCTCCAAGTACAATCTTCAAAATTACCATCTGTCTGTTTTAAATAGTTTGTGATCACCAAAAAGATACACTGTATGCATATCAGAAATATGAGGAAAGAGACATGTGTTACGGTCACTGTAGACTAGAGCAATAATAAAATCACATTTATAACTTCATATATCACAATTTTAGTTCGCAAACATGTCATCAGAAGTGGTTATGATTTTTAGAGAGGAAAAAAAAGAGTGGCACCTGTGCACAGCTTATTAGGTAACAAATAATTCATTCTTTATAGATACCCATAGCCATGAGATGACAGACACTCAATCCAGTGCCCTCGTTACATTGGAGGTCAGAGGCAAAGTGCCCCCATAAGTTGGCCATATACTATACACATATACATATACTCTTACTCTTACACATACCCACATACATATACTCTTTTGACCCTGTCACCACAGAGGAGGTAACTAAGCTTCTCTCTGACACCCACCTCACCACCTGCCCCCTAGACCCTGTTCCCTCAAAACTACTTTGGCACCCTCTTGCTCTATCCTACACTCTCTTACTCACATGTTCAATCTTTCACTCTCTACTGGAATCTTTCCTACCCCTCTCAAACATGCACTAGTCACCCCAATACCCAAAAATCCTTTACTGGACTCTACCGACCTTAATAATATCAGACCTATCTCCTTACTCCCATTCACCTTTAAAACTACTAGAACGCCTTATTACAACCGCCTGAGTTGCCACCTTGCTAATAACAACCTTTTGGACCCCTTTCAGTCCGGCTTTCGCCCCATACACTCCACTGAAACCGCCCTCCTTAAACTCACTAATGACCTAATAACAGCTAAAAACAATGGCCACTATTCCTTACTCTTGCTATTAGACCTCTCTGCTGCTTCCGACACTGTTGACCACCCGCTGTCCTTCTCTATCTACACCTCCTCTCTTGGTCAGTTGATAACCTCACATGGCTTCCAATACCATGCCTATGTATTGGAAGCCATGCCGATGACACTGAAATGTATCTTTCCACTCCACAACTCACCCCCTCAGTGTCCTTCGGTGTCACTAATCTACTAACTGAGATATCCGTCTGGATGTCACAACATTTCTTAAAACACAACCTTTCAAAAACTGAGCTCATGATATTTCTTCACCCCTGTGCACCTTCCCCCAACATTTCAGTTGAGATTGAAAACACAACTATCCAGCCCTTCAGCCCATGCCAAGGTCCTAGGTGTCATCCTTGACTCGGACCTCACCTTTCTTCCACACATCCAATCGCTATCCAAATCCTGCCACCTTCACCTTCGTAACATCTCCAAAATACGCCCCTTCCTCACCAATTAAACCACCAAACTACTCATCCACTCGCTTGTTATATCTCGTCTTGACTATTGTAACTCCCTCCTCATTGGCCTTCCACTACACAGGATATCCCCCCTTCAGTCTATCATGAATGCAGCTGCCAGACTCATTCACCTACACAACCACTCAGTGTCTGCATCCCCCCTCTGCCAATCCCTACACTGGCTTCCAGTCGCCCAGAGGATAAAATTCAAAATATTAATAGTCACTTATAAAGCCATCCACAACTCTGCCCCCGGATATATCTCCAACCTGGTCTCAAAATATCACC